GAAAGGTGCAAGAGCGTGAGCAGCTGGTCTGTGAGTGGACACAGATGAGATGTGTGTGTATATGTGTGATATTGACTATGGGGTGTGTCTGTGAGAGCAAGCTGCCTTAGACTCTTCCTGGCACATGGACCCTCCATAAATGTTAGGTAAATGGATGGATAGATGGAAGGAAGTAAGGACTAGGGCCTTCAGACCATGACCACTTAGGAATGATGACGAGTCAGTCACCCCATTTGGTGTGCCTGACCTTGTGTGTTAAGTGCACAAACTGTGGTTGTAGATGTAGTTCCATATTTGAACCTTCCAAGCCACCATTTTCCATCAGCATGACTTCTGGGGAGCTGGTAGGAGTTAGGAAGGGGAGCCCTATCTTGAGTACCTAAAATCCTGGCCCACCATCAACACGGGTTCGGATTTGCTCAGCCAGAGATGCTCATGTGCTATCATTTGCCTCATCCCTCTGCCTCCAGGAAGGCCTGGTTATAGACAGCCTCCTAGGCATTAGGGGTGATCCCTCATGTCTACAAAGGTCCTCTGTCCTTAAATCAGGAATCATACACTCCAATCTAGCTCCCCAAATCTCCAGATGTGGTTGTGAGGATCTGAAACCCAGTAGAAGATAATCCTCTAACTCACAGAGCTAATGAACTTGAACTGGGAAACTCCAGAGCTTTATCTCCCATCTGGGATATTGAGGACCACACAGCTGTGAACAGACTCTTCCAGGCTTGGAGAGCCCCCATCCTGCAAGTACCTGCCTCCTTCCCAACCATCACTGAGACATTCCAGCTGGTTGGGTCTCAGAGCATAGCTATCTACAGAGAAACTGGCATGGTCATTCAGCTCTTACTACTCAGCACCTCCATGTCCAGCCCTGCACCCAGACACACAAGTGAGAAAACTGAGGCAGGGACAGGGCCCTCCTCTCCTGGAGACGGTAGGCTGGGGGGCCAGGATGCAGAACCAGAAGGAATCTGAGGATCATCCAGTCTCGCTTACAGAAATATCCATGGACACAGGAGAAAACTGAAGCCAGAAGAGATGTGGGAGAATTTGTTCAAGGCCTCCCAGCAAAGCTTTTGTGGAGCTGGAGTAGAAACCAGGGGTTCTGACTTTCACCCCAGGCCTGTGGATTGCCACACAGGGAGATGAGAGGCACTCCAAAGGAGTGTTTGACAGCTCTCTCCAGAACACAGCTGTTTTTTGCTTCGAGCAAGGATTGCTAGCCTGATGCCAGAGTACCCCACCACCCCTGTGGTCTGCTGGGGTTGTCTGCTGAGCCAAGCCTCCAAAATCATGCCCCTCTCCATGGCCCTGCAGCTGCCAGATCTCTGGGGGAGCAGATGGGTCTCCTGGGGCGAGCCAGCTGGACCTAGGACAGCTGCCTCCAGAAATTCCCAAGGGAAACACTGGCTCAGCAGCTTTGCCAGAAATTCTGGCGTGGGGCTGGGGGGTCCGGGGTTGCGGGGGGAGTCAAAGATTCTCCCAAAGAGGACTGTGTATTGGGAGTTGGAGTCTAGGCTACTGCCAGTGCTGATTATGAAAGGGGAGGAGCGGAATGGGGACAATCTATTTTTTGTGAAACAGAGGGGAAATTTATCTTTGTTATTTTTGGTAAAATAAAGGAGGCAAACTAAAGGCCCTGGTGGGAAACTGTGGTCTGGGTGCCACATGGCTCCTGGGCAGGCTGTGGAAGGAACTGGGCCAGAATGGGGCAGGGAGGGCTTTGTGTCCTGAGATCCTGGGCTGTGAAGGGCTGACTGATGTGGTCATGTCTGGCCCAGCTTTCCAGGCTTGAGACACTGAACTTTTCCCAGGGCTCTGAGAATTCAGGACCTAGAATTCCTGGGCTAGGCTAGAAACCTTAGAGTGGGGAGGGCTGGGCCTTACCTTCAGGGAACTCAGTCTCTTTGGAGAGTCATTGTTTCAGCTCAGGGTGCCTGTCACTGGTCACTCTTATCCATCCTATTAATCTGGGTGGTTTATTGGAGCTAATGGGTTAAGGGACAGGACAGAAATACAGCCCTAACCCTAATCAGAGCAGAAGAAGGTCTTAAGAGAAGGCTGTTTGTTGGGTGCTGGTTAGAGCTTCAGGTGGGGGTGGCAAGACATGGGCTGACTCCTGAGTTTATTTCCCAGGGACAGCTGACGCTCTTAGCTCAGGTCCTGCTATCATTCCACAGCCCCTTACCGCAACTGCCTAGATAAGAGTTGAAAAACAGCTTGGTTCTTAAAGAGTCAGCAAAGACCCACCTAGAGCTCTTCTTTCTCCCTGAGAAGGAGACAACCTGGCTTTATGCAGTGGCTCTCCTAGGAGGCAGAGACCTGGGTGCGAGTCTCAGCCCAGCCCTCAAAATACTCTGGCATATTCCTTTCTCCTCTGAACCTCAGTTTCCCCCATCTCCTTCATGATCAGGTGTGGGAGTAAGGGATTTACTGATTTCTAAACTCCTGGTTACTCAGTTTGGGTCATTCACAATAGTAACAAATACTACGTGTTAGGTATGGGCTTCCCAGGTGGCTCAGTGGTAAAGAGTCCACCTGCCAATGCAGGAGACTCAGCAGACATGGGTTCCATCCCTGGGTCAGGAAGATTCCCCTGGAGAAGGGAATGGCAAACCACTCCAGTATTCTTGCCTGGAAAATCCCATGGGCAGAGGAGCTTGGTGGGCTACAGTCCATGGGGTTGCAAAGAGTCAGACACGACTGAACGACTGAGCACGCAACCTGTGTTAGGTAGAACTCTAAATGCTTGACATGTAATAGCTTGTTGAATCATTTGTTGCCTGGCTACCTTCCTGATGCCCAGTGTCCCGCCTTTCGTTGCTGTAGGCGTCTAAGGCCCTCCACTCTGCAGCCCCTTCTGGCTTACCAGAGGAGGCCCCAGTCCAGCATTCTACAAGGTGGCTTTGCTTGCACACCTCCTGTGACAGGTCACCCACCACTTCCTCAATTACTAGACTCAGAAACTTCAGGCTCTGGGGTCACAGTTGTTCTGGAATACACCATATAAAGGTAGATTTATCTCAGAACTGTGTGGCCAAGACCTGTACCTTACATGACAATGTCTGAATACATCAGAAAGCCCTCACAAAACTACTTTGAGAAATTCAGAGAGGGATGCTTGGAGAAGACGACAGAGAAAGAAGATAAAAGAGAGCTGGGGCCTCAGCTACACAAAGAAAAGAGCCCCCCCCATAGGGCAAACTTTGGCAAGAGAGGATCTGGGGAGAGGCAGTGTATTGAATGTAGAAGGGCAGTCAGGCTGCAAAAGGCTTTGTTTTCCTGTTGGCTCAGGAGCCATAAAAATATTTGGAGCAGGGAATAGGGAAGCGAGCCATTTGCCCCACCCTGGAGCAGAGCGTTCACCTGCTGAGTAAAGGATGCCCCAGCATCCTTGACCCTCATGAACACTGCAGCCTTTTGGAGGTTGTTTCCTGCTGGTACTCCCACTGCCCCACCCCCCAGGAGTTGTGTGGAGTGTATGGTGAAGGAAGCCACAGGCATGGCTGGAACTCCATCTTATGTGGGGAGACTTTCCTTAAGACTTTCCTCCTCTGAGCCCCTGGAACCCTCATCCCTGTATAACTGAACTTGGTTGCCATGTGGGGCACACAGCAATTTTAAGAACCTTGGTTGGAACCTAAGCCTGAGTGACAGGATCATCTGGCTGTTGAGATATTCAGTTCAGTTCAGTTCAATTGCTCAGTCATGTCCAACTCTTTGCAACCCCATGGACTGCAGCATGCCAGGCTTCCCTGTCCACCAACTCCTGGAGCTTGCTCAAACTCATGTCCATTGAGTCAGTGATGGCATCCAACAATCTCATCCTGTGTCATCCCCTTCTCCTCCCGCCTTCAATCTTTTCCAGCATCAGGGTCTTTTCCAATGAGTCAGTTCTTCACATCAGGTGCCCAAAGTACCGGAGCTTCAGCTTCAGCATCAGTCTTTCCAACAAATATTTAGGATTGATTTTCTTCAGGATGGACTGGTTGGATCTCCCTGCAGTCCAAGACACTCTCAAGAGTCTTCTCCAACACCACAGTTCAAAAGCATCAATTCTTCAGCTCTCAGCTTTCTTTATGGTCCAACTCTCACATCCATACATGACTACTGGAAAAACCATAGCTTTGACTAGATGAACCTTCATCAGCAAAGTAATGTGTCTGCTCTTTAACAGGCTGTCTAGGTTGGTCATAGATTTTCTTCCATGGAGCAAGTGTCTTTTAATTTCATGGCTGCAGTCACCATCTGCAGTGATTTTGGAGCCGAAGATAATAAAGTCTGTCACTGTTTCCATCATTTCCCCATCCATTTGCCATTAAATGATGGGACCAGATGCCATGATCTTTGTTTTTTGAATGTTGAGTTTTAAGCCAGCTTTTTCACTCTCCTCTTTCATTTTATTCAAGAGGCTTTTTAGTTCCTCTTGACTTTCTGCTATAAGTGTGGTGTCATCTGCATATCTCAGGTTATTGATATTTCTCCCAGCCTGTGCTTCATCCAGCCCAGCGTTTCACATGATATACTCTGCATATAAGTTAAATAAGCAGGGTGACAATATATAGCCACGACGTACTGCTTTCACAATGTGGAACCAGTCCGTTGTTCCATGTCTGTCCTCGTTCTAACTGTTGCTACTTGACTTACAGATTTTTCAGGAGGCAGGTAGGGTGGTCTGGTATTCCCATCTCTTTAAGAAATTTCCAAGCACCCAAACCTTTTAAGAAATTTTACAGAATTCGTTCTCGTTTTTAAAAAGACTGGCAGCATTCAAAATATTCCTCCCAAGCATGCAGAAGCGCTCGGTAAATATAATTATACCTGCTCCTTGCCCGACCTCCTCCTTCCAGGAACTTCCCAGGACTCCTGACCTCCAGTCCGAAAAGGTGGCTTCAGAAGGCGCCAAGCCCCGCCCCCTACCCCAGCAATCTCCCCGCCCCTCTTCCATCACGCCTGCGCAGTTTACTTAGTACGTCCCCACCGTTTTCCAGCGCGTAGCGAACAGGACGCAGGCGCAGCTCCACCCCTCACTCCTCTCTTAGGTCGGGCCCGCCTCTCGAGGCTAGTACTGCCTCTTCCGCGTTCTCTGGGGAGCGTTCTGTAGGTGGAGTGCGAGCGACCTGTCCCTCCAGGAGTCAGCTGAGGTAAAGCCCAGACAGCGAGACACCTCTGCGAGTAAAATGGGGCCCCCACGGGGGAGGGGGTGCGGCCCGTGAATGAGTCCTGTTCCTGGGAAGGAGCTGTTGGGGCTTTCGGAACGGCCCGAGGTCATGACCAGATTCTATTCTATTGCCGGCCGGGCGGGCAGGAGGGGGCGGACAGCTGAAGGAGCAGCTTCTTTAAGACCGTCCTTGGGGCTCCGTCTGGGACGAGCTCTGGGCGCATCGTGTGTCTCCAGTCCGGGTTCAGCCGGCGCCTGGGTTCGGTGCTTGGGTTGTGACAGGTGTCCGAGGTCGGAGTTTAGCCAGGGGCTGGTTTGAGACTCGATACGTATCAGGCTATATGGCTGGGCTCAAGGCTCAGGCAGTCCAACGTCATGAATAGTTTTTCATGTAAGGAATGTTTCATATCTGTGTACTCCATTATTTTAAAGTGAACTGTTTTCACTTCAAAGTTCCTGACGTGTGTGGGTCGCTGTCCTGTGAGGAGAGAGAATAGTGTGGGATACAATCTGTCTCCTTAGGGAGTTTCCAGGCTACCTTGTCAGATGGTCAGTGGCAGATCAGAGGCCAGCGTGGGTGACAGGATTGAAATGTTGGAAATACTCGAGTTTGGGTCAGGCAGACCTGGGTTCAGATCTCACCTCCGCCACTTAAGTAGCTGTGCGCCTTCACCACGCCGGCCTCTGATCTGCCACTGACCATCTGACAGGTGGCCTGGAAACTAACTCCCTAAGGAGACAGACTGTATCTGCCACTTAGTAGATGTGCAAGTTGTTTTTCCCACCCAAAGCTTTAGCTTCTCTTGTATTAAAAGGGCATAGGAGGGTCATTGTGAAGGTAAGTTGCAGTCTTTTAGTGTGACACCTGTCATGAATTGGGTGCTGAATATTTGGTTCATGAAATGAGTGTGATTTCTAGGAATTAGGTCATTTTGGACGTTATAAAGGCCTTGGGGGAAGAGTTAAAGTGACCTAGGTTTTGAAGCCTCAGTGGGGTTTACAGGTGGAGCTGACCTTGCAGGTTGGGTCAGTGTTTGTTGACCAGTCCTCATATGCCCAGCACTGTGCTGGACAATTCATGTCTGTTATTTCACTGGATCCTCAGCCATTGACCCAAGTGCTTTCAGCCCCACTATCCTTAGCTTCAGCCCCTCTAAAGAAGGCTTGGCTGGAAGTAATGTAAAGAGGGTTGGTGTTTTGTTTTGTTTTTTAATGTGGAGCTGGGGCAGCTGGAGATTTTTGGTGATCTCTCCCCAACTTCTCCCACATCAGCTTTTCCCTTTCTGTGATCCATAGTGCTACTTGGTTTCTTGACTTTGGGAGGCCTATTTTGCTAGCGGATTTTGATGTTTATAGGGCCTAGCATGGGAGCACCTCTTAAACTCGGATTGCATGAAGCTAACCTGGGCAGTGAGTTCTGTGAACAGGAGCTGTTGGATTCTGGCACAAACTTATAAAGATCCCTTAGTAATTTAGTAACTTGGTTCCTTTTACCTTTTCATGGATGCCCATGTGATCTTCCTGAGAAATGTTCTCAACATATCTCTGCTCAGAAACCTTGGTTGGCCTTGTTGCCTCCCTTATGGAGTTTGGGCTCCTTGGCCTCATGGAAAGGCCCCTCTATAATCTGTTCCCAAATCTCTCTCCTGCCCTGTTTCCCTTTGTTCTCTCAAACCTGCACCCTATGGCCCAGGCAAAATAAACTTTTTTTTTTTAAATTTCCCTCAAGTACTCCCTTACATGTTCCTTTATTCACTCTTCTTAGAGTCCCCACCTCCATCTTTCAAGGCCTGTGTCTCCTGTAACCTGCCATTGAAGCTTCTCTGATCCACACTACTGTATTAGTTGCCGCTTCCCATCTTCTGTAGCAGAAGCTACACCTTGAATATAGCTCTGATTACAGTATGCCTTGGAATATGTCCCCCAAGATGTACTCTGAGTACGTTGGTGGAAAGGGACCATGCCTGTTTCATCCCTCCTCTGCCTGGCACATAGTAGGCCTCTGCAGTGTGTGCAGTCAGATGAGTCAGTGACATTTTTATATACTTGCTTTGGTCTTTGTTTTATGAGCTTTCAGGTTCAGAGTGGGCCTTTGTATTCTTCCTTCTTTTTGTGCCTAAGGAGAGTCGTAGTTTAGATTGATGGTGCCCTAATTATAGGCATCAAAGGTAAGAAAGTGCAGGAATCCTGCACAAGGCAGAATCCGTCATTGCTACTATTGTTTTCAGCCTCTTGCCTTGCCTTTGCTGTGAGTTCTGTTGGCAAGGAGGTGATGTTCTGTTCAGGAACCTGCACTGAATGTGTTATAGTTCACACAGGGGAAGGTGCACAGGTGGTTTACCAATCAATTGTCCTGACCTTGCCTTGGCCCCTCTCCTCTGGGAACCGGCAGCTACAATTTTTCCTTGCCAGCAGCTTCACCATCTGGAACAGGAAGGCTCTTTGGTGATTGTAGAGAAATATACCTCATTGAAGGCACAGCAAGCTTGGACAACATCTGGTTCTTCTTCGATTTTACAGATTAGAAGAGGCCCACAGAGGGGAAGGGACAAGATTGGACAAGACATGAGTCAGTGGTAAAAATAATATGAAAAGTGAAAGATTCTGACTCTGTTTTCTTCCAGTCTGCTACTTTATAAGAAAATATTTAACATTTATTGAGTACTTCTTATGTGGCATATACTGTTTTAAGTGCTTTATATGTGACATGTCAAAACTATGTATTCTACAGACTTGGAAACGGAGGCAGCTAGAAATCATTCAGATCTACTTTTGGGTTCTACATGTTTGCTTTATGGACTTCCCTGAAAATCAGTTGGTAAAGAATCTGCCTTCAAGGTAGGAGACCCTGGTTCGATTCCTGGGTCGGAAAGATCCACTGGAGAAGGCATAGGCTATCCACTCCAGTATTCTTGGGCTTCCCTTGTGGCTCAGCTGGTAAAGAATCTGCCCATAATGTGGAAGACCTGGGTTCGATCCCTGGGTTGAGAAGATTGCCTGGAGAAGGGAAAGGCTACCCACTCCAGTATTCTGGCCTGGAATACTGTTTGCTTTGTAATATGGTTTCAATGGCTGTCGTTCTAACCGGTGGGGTAGAAATAGTTCTTCAGGGTCACCTACCTCCATGAGGGAGTGATGTCCTCCCAGCCATGTCTTCCTGTATCCTGAAGAAATATCTTTAAACGAGTCCAGAGTGTGTTGAAAGAGTGGGTGATAGAATGAAGCAAACTGCATGAGTATTGGTGGCTCTTAGTTTAGGAATATTAGTATACTTTAAAAATTGCGTGTTAAACAAGTCAGGCAGTGAGAGCAAAATTTTAGAAACTCAGTCCAGGAGCTTTCCGTAAAGTTTCTCAGTCAGTGATTCAGTTCAGTCCAGTCCCTCAGTCGTGTCTGACTCTTTGCGACCCCATGGTCTGCAGCACTCCAGGCCTCCCTGTGCATCAGCAACTCCCAGAGTTTACTCAGGCTCATGTCCATTGAGTCAGTGATGCCATCCAGTCATCTCATCCTCTGTTGTCCCCTTCTCCTTCTGCCTTCAGTCTTTCCCAGCATCAGGGTCTTCTCAAATGAGTCAGTTCTTCACATCAGGTGGCCAAAGTATTGGAGTTTCAGCTTCAGCATCAGTCCTTCCAATGAACACCCAGGACTGATCTCCTTTACGATGGACTGGTTGAATCTCCTTGCAGTCCAAGGAACTCTCAAGAGTCTTCTCCAACACCACAGTTCAAAAGCATCAATTCTTCGGCGCTCAGCTTTCCTTATATAGTCCAACTCTCACATCCATACATGACTACTGGAAAAACCATGGTGGCAAGATTCAATTCAAAAAACACATATTGAGCTCTTTCTACATACAGGACCCTGGTATTGAGAAATACACACAGAAGAGAGCAGCACATTTCCTGCCCTCCTATAAGTAATTGTCTTCTCAGAGCCTTCTCCCTCCAGTGTAGTTGGCAAGACAGATAAGTACATAAATAACTGAAATCAGGTTGACTCTAGTAAATGTAGTAAAGAATGTAAACAGTGGGAGAAATCAATCCCAACATGACCAAAGGGGGTTCAGCAAGGATTCCTGAAGGTTGGAAAATTTATGCTAGGCCTTGAAGGAGGTTCATTCCAGTGAGAAGGAACAGCTTTGGCAGTGGTCTAGAGGTGGGGATGAAGTAGAGGGAGAGGAGTGGATTTGGTGAGGAAGGGAAATAAACTGAAATGATGAATTGTGGCCATAATGTATAGAGGTGTGAAGAGAAGAACACTGACGTTTATCTAGTCTCTACTCTGCTTTGTGGCTGAGTATATCAGATGTATTACACACTATAATTTATTTAATCCTCAGAATCCTGTAACATGGGGATATTTAACCCCAATTTAAAGATGAAGAAATTGGACCTCAGAAAGATTAGAGTGATTTGCCCAAAGTCATGTAGCTCATAAGTGACAGAGCTTGGTCCAAACCTATTAGTGTTGGATTCAGAGACCTGTGTTCTTTTCGTTATACTGCAAGACTCCAAATGCTGTGACTGGGGCTCTGTTTATTCTGTCTTCCAAAAGGAGGTAAAGAAAGTTGGAGAATGGGAACATTTTGTTGCAGCACACGAGCTCATTAGTTGTGCAGGATCTAGTTCCCTGACCAGGAATGGAAGCAGGACCTCGTGCATTGGGAGCATGGAGTCTTAGCCACTGAACCACCAGGAAAGTCCCAATAGTAATACTATTGATAATTATTATTGATATCCCATTAAGTATTGGTTTTATAAAAGGTATATTTTTATGACCATTTCCCTGCTGTCTTACTCTGATATCATTGCCTTCTCTTTCTTTCCATTGTCCCATCAAGAAAATTTGAAACATAGTCATACCTCATTTTATTGCACTTCAAAAATATTGCATTTCTTACATATTAAAGGTTTTTGGCAACTATGTATTGTCAGATGATGGTTAACATTTTTTAGCAATAAGTGTATTTTATTATTTTTAATTAATTTTAATATTAATTGATTTAATGATTAATTCTAATTAAGGTATGTACATTGTTTTTTTTAAGACATAATGCTATTGCCTACTTAATAGACTACCATATAGTATAGATATAACTTTTTACATGCACCAAAAAACTGAAGAATTTATGTGACTTGATTATTTAGGTGATCTGGAACCAAACATGCAGTATCTCTGAGGTATGCCTGTACTAGATTTTTCCATCACAGGACTGCAAAGGATGATATGACAAAAACTGCCAGTAGGAAAAGGGTCAATTAAAACTCAGTGGCTCAAAAAAAAAAAGTCGATGACACATTAGAAAAGTCTTACCTGACTTTTACCAGTCTTACCTGGTCTCCACAGCAAATAGGAACAGAGCTGCATATTTATTTCCTTTTGCACAGCCTTCAACAAAAATGCCTACCAGGAATCCCCTGGCGGTCCAGAACACTCTGTGTTCTTACTGCCGAGGACGAGGGTTCAATCCCTGGTCAGATTACTAAAATCGCACAAATTGCGTAGCATGGCCCAAAAAAAAACAGTACTCAGCCAAACCCCTTCAATTCACTTGCCAAAAAATACAGTAATAATGTATTTTGAAAAATGCTCCCTGATTTGGTTCTTCTTTCTCTCCAACTTAAGCCTCTCTAGCCTGAACTTAAGCTGTTTCTTCTTTTTCCACTTTCCATGAATATAGAAAAGTTCCCTCTGATTATAAGGGAACATGAGATCAAGATTTTCTCATGAGAACCTTTTGTAGACCTAAAACCAGAATCAAATTGGGCCTCATCTTCTCTTCTGGAGGTTAAACAGCCATGTTTTCTTTTACTTCACTCTTAAAACTTATTTTCCATTGCTTGGATCACATTGGTCATGCTTTTCTTTCTCTTAGGTCTTTCTCCTTCTTGACAGTGACCCAAACTGTGCTTAGTCTGCTAATAGAAGTCCAACTAAAACAGTTTAAGAGCAGAATAACTTCAGATGTTTTCATTCATTCATTAAAATTTATTGAATGTTTGCCCCATGTCAGGCACTGTGCTACGGGTAGGGGACCCAGAGGTGAATCAGACACAGTCTCTGCCCTGTGGCTAGCTCACAGTCTAGGGGGAGATGTGCAATAAAATGCTACAGGTACTGTGATTGAGTTATGCACAAGTGTAGGAAGCTGGAAATTGTTCAGTGAAGTTAGGTAGAAACTGTCCATTTTGCCTGGACTGTAGATGAGGACTTCTGTAGAGGAGTGGTAAGATATAATGCCGGACGGATGGGCTAGGGCAAGATTGTGGAGGCCCTGAGTGACAGCATGGGACCTTGGTCATTCCAGAGGCAGTAGATACCCATTAGAAGTGTTGGAATAGGGAAGTACCAGGCTCAAATCTGGCTTTTCGGATCAAGGACAGAGATACCACAAGCTTATCTGTCTTATCTGCCCCCCTACTGATGTTTTATGGGGGGAAATGTCTTATTTGTGTACTTGGTTTTTTTCTCTAAAGCTTCTATAGAAAGACTAGTTCTTGAACTCTGAAAAAAATTCATTCCTTGTACAGCAGAAAATTCATGAATAATTGAGAGAGTTTGGTGCTTGACCTGTATAAGATCCGATGGCAGACCAGTCTGTGAGATTTAGCCCAATCACATTTCACCCTTTCCCAGCTGTATACCAGGAAGAGGTGCGGGAATGAGGAGAGGGTTCCAGGGCTCTTCTGGGTATTTCGTATGGAATGCTAAGAAGATTCCGGTAGTGTGAGAGTCAAAAGTTCTTTCTGAGGAGGAAAAGAGGCCCACTAGAATTTGGAATGGTGTCAGAAGGAATCAGGGCCAACCAGGCACTCAGAATCCTGGGTCACGTATCTGAAAACCTCCAAATTCTGTCTCTGCCTTTCTACTCTGCTCTCCGTTTGTTCTCTTCTGCTGCCTAGTTGTGGTTTACAGAGTGGCTGTGTTGCTTTCCAGAGTCACAGCTGATCTGAGGAAGCCGTATCCCAAGCTAGAGTAATAATTACGATTTATTGAGTGCATACTATAAACCAGGCATTGTGCCATGAACTTGATACAGATTAGCTCATTCTCACAAAATCCCTGTCACATAGATGTTATTGCTCCCTTTTGATAGACGATGACAGTGAAACACAGAGAGGTTAAATATTATGTCCAGGGTTACCTCATTATTACACGATAAGGCTAGATTCTGAATCTAGGCCCTAATGACTCAAAAGCCCACTCACTTTCTCTCCCCCCAGCCCTGGAGTGGCTCCAAACAGAATAAAATAAAAGTCCGTAAAGAAATTGTGAAGACTGTTTTTACTGTAGGTCTACTAGAGGTAGAAATGAACAGAAATGTGTGTGTGTGTTTGTGTTTAGAAAGATGGAGTTGGTGAGGAAAGAAAAGCTGGATTGGCAAACTATGGCCTACAGTCCATATCTGGCTCACCACTTGTTTTTGTCTAGACTGCAAGCCATTTACATTTTTAAATGGCTGGGGAAAAGTTCAAGAGAAAATTAATATTTTGTGACACAAAAAATCATATAAAATTAAAACTTCAGCATCTATAAATAAAGTCTTACTGAAATATAGCCACACTCACTCATTTTCATATCATCTCTGGCTGCTTTTGGCTCTGCAAAGGCAAAATTGAGTAGTTTTTGTGACGAGGCCATGTTACACACAAAGTATAAAATATTGACTCTGGCCCTTTACAGAGAAAAATTGCCAACCCCTACTATAGGCAACAAGAAGGGACCAAGATATTCAAACCTATGGCAAGACTGAAAGCAAAGAGTTAAAAGTCAAGAATGTTCAAGGTTGTCCCTGGAAGCATTGTGGCCATAGGGAGAGGGAACATAACCTGAGCTTTCGTAGACCTTGGAAATAGTGGGCCACAGAGATTTGTTTGGGAATAAAATGCACAATAGGAAGGATTATTCTATGTGTTAATGTTCTCTTCTGAACAATAAAGAAATATTTTATGGATGAAATAATTCATTCAGATATTAACTGGAGCCCTTTTTTTGTGCCGGATACTACATTAGATGCTGAAAATACAAAGATGAAAAAGATACGTCCTTGCCTTTGAGGAGCTTAAGGCCTCATGGGAGAGCCACGTGTGCATGAAGGGAGCTGACTCTAAGTATTACAATAGTAGATGTGCTTTCAATTCAATGTTGGATGAAGTAGAAAAAAAGTCAGGGACTATTCCTGTAATTTGTGGGACTGCTCTCAGTAATTTATAATGGGCCTGGAAGGATGAATGGGTGTTATTTTTCAAGGAGCTACATACCAGGCTGAAGGAGAGCCTGACTGTAGTAATAGTTGGAGCTTATGAGGTTGGAAGAGAAAGCAACATTAGGAATGATTTAAAGCCTCTGTGGCTGAGTGACTGGCAGGGTGATAATGTGATAGAGAAAAAGAGAAAGGAGGAAGGAGGTGGTAGCTGGGGGTTGGGGACAAGTCCAGTTTGGGACATGTGATTTGAGGTAATGATGAAACACATCCGGCTTCCAGTTAGGAAACACTTTAGAAATGTTAGCATGAGGGCCTAGAATTCGGATTTAAACTACATTTTCAGAGCTTTTCTGTTGGGAAAAGGGGAAGTACATACTCACTGCATAGAGAAATTGACAAATCAACATTGGCAGCTGATAAGTGGAGCCATGAGATTAAAAATAGCAGTGGACGTTTGGAAAATGAAGTCATCAGATGGAAAACCAGCAATAGTTAGGCAATTGGCAGAAAACCTTGTTCCTCTTCATGCCACCTGCTGTTCTCAGCATCTACTTTTCCTTTCTGACTCTTGCCTCCCCCCTGTGAGTCTTAGACCTGACCACTGGGAGATGGACCCAGAATTCATTCATCTCTAAATAAGTGGACAACAGAGCAGTGGCAGCCTTTACCTTCTGCATGAGTCTCTTCAGAGAACAAAGGTGTCCATATCTGTTATCCGGGTCCAGTTACTTCTTTTTGGGTCTGGAATGCCACAGTGGAAGCATAATTTGAAAACTTTAACCCAGACACTTGTTAAGTCAAAGCTTTGTGTCAGCATTTTAAATGCTCCAATGCCTGATTTTAAAGACTGGGGAAATCTATGATTGCCTTGTGATTACCTACTTACTGGTATAACACATAGATTTAGGGAATACAGGTTGATCTTTATCTTCTCTGAACATTAAGTCAATATTTTTACATCCTTTCCATTTCTGCTTTCTGAAGATTTTCATGCCAGATATGATGAAGCAGAAGCCGATGGAGAACTGAATAATGTCTGTTGTGCACAGAGGCCATTGAAACCTTTCCTGTAGCTGGAAAACAGCAGCCCCCTGACAGAAGCATTACTGTGTTTGAAGTTTCAAATTTACAGAGGATTCTCTTCACAGAGTTGGGCAGACCTATAGGTAAGATTGGATGCCTGTTTTACTTAACTTTAGAAAAAAATTTTTTACCTTTTGGCCACACCAGATGGTTCTTAGGATCTTAGTTCCCCAACCAGTGGTCAAACCTGTGTCCCCTGCATTGTAAACTCAGTCTTAACCACTGGGCCTCCAGGGAAGTCCCTTACTTAACACTTGCATCAGGTTGAAATGACAGATTTCCCCACTTTCTGAAAGTAGAACCTTCTGGTGAAACCTTCCTTAAGCCAAAATGGTGTAAAGCAATTATCTTAGGACACATCTTGCTAATGGATGCACAAAATAGATGGAGATCAAGCACAGATGCTCACAAATGGAGTTCCAAGCTCCATCAGCTAGATGCTGAGTGTAGTGCCTAGGAAGGAGTTCAGTGGTACCACTCTCACTGCTCACGGTGCATGCTGCCACTATAACATTCAGGATGTGCTGAACTACATTTTCACTTTTCATCCTTTCTCATAAAAAGGAAAACCCTCTTAGTATTTCTTGGAAATGGGTACATACTAACAAAGGTCTTTCATAAAAGCAAAGTGGCATAAAGCAAACTTTCCGTAAGTGTACAGATACAGGTTTACAGGTGTGAGTTTTCCTCCTTGCTGCTATGTCACCCTCCTTTGGCTGAAGCTTGCCAGGGATACAGACTTCCCTTGCTTCCCATCCCCAACGAGCTTCCCTTGGTGGATTCCCCCCCTCTTTGATGGTACTGCTGTTCCTACGTTACCTGACTTTCATTAGGTAACATATATTGAGGTAACCCTCTGTGCCTAGTTCCATACAAGGCAGTGGGGATGGAGAGAAATTAGGCCCCATGCCTTCCTTCGAGGACGGTAGTGGTCTTTGACTCCACCTCCATCTCCAGTCACTGGGCAGAATTAGGACCAGCTTTGCCTCTGTGGCTTCATTCCTTCTCCCCATAACACCCCTCATCTCTTTTTCTTCCTTTCTGTCCCCACACACCTTCCCTGTCAGCTTCACACTTTCCCTGCTTTCCTCCAGGTTGCCACAGCCTCACTCTGCCCTCCAGTCCCCTCTCCAGCCTACAGTTTGTTCTGCTATCACAGCCAGTTTGATGGCCCTAAAGCAGCAGTCCCCAACCTTTCCTTTTTTGGCACCAGGGACCAATTTCTCGGAAGACAATTTTTTTGTGGACTGGGGATTGGGGGGTGGTTTAGCAATGATTCAGGTGCATTGCACATCTGTTGTGCACTTTATTTCTAATCCAGTGCTGCCACTTATCTAACAGAAGGCCTGGAGGTTGGGGACCTCTGCCCTAAAGCACAGCTCAAGGGGTGGCCAATCCCTCCCCATTGCCTAGAACAGTGGTTTACAGATGTGCTCTGCAGACCCTAGGGAGCCTTGAAATCCTTTCAGGGTATCTACAAGGTCAAAGCTGTTTTCATAATAGTGCCAAGATGCTGTTTGTTGTTGCAGAGCAACAACAGGCAAACTGCTGGTGCCTTAGCCCAAATCCTGGCAGTGGCACTGAACTGTACTCGCAGTCATTGTTTTCTTTACCACTACACACTTAGAGTTTTTTTTTAAATGCCGTTTTCACTTAAATCTGTCCTTGATGAAACAGTAGAAATCATTAATTTTACTGAATTTCCTTGAGTACACAACTTTTTAATATTCCATATGACACAGTGAAAATGTTCAAAGCCTTCCTGGTGTATATCAAAGCACAGCACTTGTATTGAGGAAAAGCACTTGTGAGATTGTTTGTGAATTGCAAGCTGAACTAGCCCCTCTTCATTTTTTCTTGAAAGAATAAATGACTAAAGGTTGGTGAGGCTGGAAAGTAGATGGGCACCAGATGTTGAAGAGCCTTGTGGGCTGTATTAATAAGCTTGGGTGAGCTGACTTCGGCTTTTTATACTGTCCTGCTCACACAAATCCAGGCCTTTACTCCCGCTTGCTGTTTCTTTTTTTTTTAATTGAGGCATAATCAACATACAACATTTTATTAGTTTCAGGTGTACAACATAATGATTTGATATTTATGAAATGATCGCCACAGTAGGTCTCATTAATATCTATCACTGTACACAGTTATAGAGTTTTTATGTGTGATGAGAATTTTAAAGGTCTACTCTTAGCAACTTTCAAATATACCATACAGTATTGTTAAGTATAGTTGTTCTGTGTTGTCTGTTAGTCACTCAGTTGTATCCGACTCTTTGTGACCTCATGTACCGTAGCCTACCAGGCTCCTCTGTCCATGGAATTCTCTGGGCAAGAATACTGGAATGGGTTGCCGTTTCCTTCCACAGGGGATCTTCCCAACTCAGGGATAGAACTCAGCTCTTCAGCATTGCAGGCAGACTGTTTACCGACTGAGCCACCAGGGAAGCCCTTATAATTGCCATGCTGCTTTAATTGTTTTATAACTAGAATTTTGTACCTTTTGATTCCTTTTACTCCCAATTTCACCCACCCTTTACTTGCCACCTCCAGCAATGACCAGTCTGTTCTCTTTTTTAAGATTTCACATATAAGTTACATTCACTGATCATATAGTATTTGTCTTTCTCTGTCTGACTTATTTCACTTAGCCTAATACCCTCAAGGACCATCCGTATCATTGCAGATTGCAAGATGTCATTCTTTTTTATGGCTGAATACTATTCCATTGTATGTATATATGTATGTGTGTGTGTATCTCATGCTCTTTTATCTGCCTATCCATCAGTGGATACTTAGATTGTTTCCATATCTTGGCTATTGTAAATAATGCTGCCGTGGGCATGAGGGAGCAGGTATCTTTTCAGGTTAATGTTTTCATTTTCTTCAGAAAAATACCCAGGTATGATCATATGGTAGTTCTGTTTTCCTGTTTACCATTTCTTAAGTACACATTCCCTTTGCCCCCTGCACCTTTCCTCTTCTCATTCCTTTTACCAGGTGATGCAGTGACAGCTCTGAAGGCTACACATGAGCCCAGAATCAGAACAGAGGAAGAAGATGGCCCTGAAACTAGACCTTTTGCCCCTGGGAATCTTACCATCCCCGCCCTGTTTGAGGCCTGCTGTGAATCATCACCCCAGGGGCGGCTTAGTGGTCCTCACTGTAGTTGAGTGGTAGGCTGCAGTCTGCTTAATGCTACCCAACCTCGCTGCACCCTGGACTCTGGAGCAAACCTGTGAAATACTGTAGACCCTTGGAATCACATTCACAGGCCGTCCTTTATTCAGGACAAACTAATTTCACAAGGTGTGTGTTAAATTTGACTAGCTTCCATTTGAGTGTGCCCTTTGCTTGATCTTGTCCCCTCCATAGTAATAATACCACCAGAAACCAAATCAACCAACTAATCAGTCAGACAGAAGAATACAGTAGCCTTGTCCTGATACCAGAACTGCCATGGAATAATGTAGTTGGGCTGGCTGGTAACTCATCTGGTAACAGGCCAAAACACAAAATACAAAACTGCCTCAGAGCAAGGGAGAGGAAATTTCTGCATAATTAGATTTTAGATTAATAGTGAAAATGTGGTAAGTCATGACCTTGTTTTATGTAAGCTGCTGCTGCTGCTGCTAAGTCACTTCAGTCATGTCCGACTCTGTATGACCCCATAGACATCAGCCCACCAGGCTCCCCCGTCCCTGGGATTCTCCAGGCAAGAACACTGGAGTGGATTGCCATTTCCTTCTCCAATGCATGAAAGTGAAGAGTGAAAGTAAAGTTACTCAGTCATGTCCAACTCTTAGCAACCCCATGGAGTGGGGTGCCATTGCCTTCTCTGTTTATGTAAGCTCAAGCCGCCCAATATTTTTGACATCATAGTACACAAAGAAAGTGATGTTGTTCAGCTGGTGAGAGGATCAGTAGCTCACAGCACGTCGGAGGGGAGGCTCCATGCTAAGGTTTCTATTTTTTTTTTTTCAATTTATTTTTATTAGTTGGAGGCTAATTACTTTACATCATTGCAGTGGTTTTTGTCATACATTGAAATGAATTAGCCATGGATTTACATGTATTCCCCATCCCGGTCCCCCCTCCCACCTCCCTCTCCACCCCATCCCTCTGGGTCTTCCCAGTGC